AGGAACCAAGAAGAACACATTCACAAATACGCGCAATGTCCAAACATGGATACTTCAACGGCAAGAGAACGGGGCTGTTGACACCTAGGGCGACCGGCTGGAACCAGGGGTAACTTGTGACGGGCGTAAACAACTTTCAGTATGATTGCGTACCACTCACTAAGCTGCATGCCTTTTGAACTACACTTGAAAGGTTCCATTGGCCAGTAAGCTCGGGAGTCCTCACTAGTTTTAGGTGGCACTATGAAAGCAGTTCAGTCTCATGTTGTGCTTGTCGCAGACGTGTTTGCACTTTGAGTTGTTGGTCTACACACCGTCTCCAGTTCGGAGATGCAGTCTAGGCAATCAATCAAACGGTTTACATGTTTTGAATATGTTCAGCCTTGATCAGCCTTCTTGACTTCTACGTCGGCCATCCTGCCATCCTGGCCTGAATGCTGCTCATGTACGAAATGATTGCGAGCTTGCATTCTTGGTGGTAGGCGGTTTTCTCTTTCGGTCCCCGCTGTTTCATTAACCATGGGTGTCCTCCCCAATTTCCCACAAAAAGCACGGGGCCCTTGGACGTGTTCCCATGCGTGCCCTGGAAGCAAGAAATTTGCCTGGCTAGAGTCAAGAGGCCCCCTTTACTTTTGGTAGGGATGGTCATCAACCCATACTAGGTATTCGAATTCAGACAACCACTGGAAGGTCGCACTACAAGGGAGGCACGACCATGTTCCGCGTCAGGAGTTCCAGCCATGGCACACATGTGTGTATGTGTGTGTGTGCGTTTACTGCAAGGCTCGTTTCACCTCGAAAAATCCATTCTTGGGGGGGACCCTTATTTTGGCACAATCCTACATGTCCACTTTTTCAATGGAACGCCCTCAAAGTTGTTCGGTGGACTTGAATCAACATCTAAGTGATATCCACCAAAGGGTCCCACAAAAAGAGTCACACCCACAGGTCATATGTCACAGCGGTCCGCAGGTGCCGGTGGTCTGCCTTCTACGAGCACCATGGCCGACACCCAGAGAAGGCGCCACGTGCGGCCTAGTGGAATCCCGCTTTGTTTGTCTCACTCCCTGAGTTTCTGGACGTCGTCCGTTTTGGGAAGCCATTTTAGGGGTGAACAACCAGCTCGGTTGCTTTTGCCAATCCACTCGAGAGAGTGAGTGCTTGTTTGCTTCGGATTTTCAGTTTACACCCAGCCAGCTAAAAAAGGTGGTGTCAGGTTTTCCTTAAACATCAGCGGGCTGTCCCCCGAACGGGGTAGAACAGGGTAGACTAAATGTGAAAATGACTCAGACATTGTGTGCCCTAGATGTGAGCAAAAATCAACCTAGATGTCCTCTTCAAATGATCCAGCGGAGACGGCCGCAAAACGCTTGGGGTTTGCAATCGCGGCTGTTCCCTCTTAAAAAGCGCTGTCCTAGGCTTCCATTGACTGGGCAAATTGGTCTGACCCGTCGTGTGGCAGTTATCACCAGTTATATCATGTTATATCTCACGCCCAGGCTGTTCAAGATGAATATTTGATCCTTATGCCAGATGGTTTGGGATCTCCTTGTTGCAGTCGTGTCCCACTACGGATTCCGCATTAGGTTATCGGGATCCTTTCGTGTTGAACAACTCAGTCTTATGACGTCTGGCACTCCTCTTAGGGAAACTGACTGACATTAGCAACGACTTCCAGGCGTTCCAGGGATTTGTTCGAATAAAACGTGACAGTGATGCAGCCCTTTTGAGCAGCGCCCTACATGGTTTAATAGGATTACCTATGTGAATACGTGTAACCATGTTAATAGGACCAAAAGTCGATGGGCTTGGGGAGCTTCTTATTGTGCCTCAATGCCCAACCATACAAACTTGCGAGAAAGCAGCAAATAAAGAGCAAGTAAACGTGGCCTTTACGTATTGCTATGGTTGTCAACGGCCCCTTCCCCCAAAGAGAGTCCCAAAAATAATAATATAGCTATTAGGCGTTGCCAGCGCCTAGTGGGATTGGGTCGCTCCTTTTGTTGTGGCCCTGGACGTCCATCGGCTTAGTCGTTCCTTGAGCTTTGTTTCCGCTAGCCTGCTGCGCCCGAGCGAATTGATCGGCAGGTCTTCCAGCTCGCAAGTTATGCCGCCAGAGGCTACAAAAAGACTTCTGAGAAGGCGCGGCTGCAATAGAGATGCCTTGCACAAAGACCAGCAGGGTCTGCGTTAAAATAGGGGAGGGTGGTTCCCCCTTCAGATTCTCCTCAAATCCACTTCAAGGGTACCTTCGAAAAGCCATACTCAGGATCTCTTTGGATCCGAGTGTGAGTATAGTTGGCCTGGAGAAAGCCGCAAGCGTTCGGACGCACCGATCTTCTCCAGAGGCATGGAAGAAGTCAACCTGGGGATACACGAAGACGCTACTCGAACATCCTCCCAACCAGAAATGTTTCGAGCATCTGAGACACGCGTAGTTCCTTGAAATCGCGGACCCCCTCCAAATGAGGTGTACACATCAACAGCATGTTCAGGGGATCCTCGCCACGGCTATGTAGAGGGGCCACAAAGGAAGAGCTGAACTGGCTAGTGTAGCTTGCCTTGCCAAGATGAGAAAATTATGCGTGTCCAAATCAGCGACCCTATTGAAGAAGCTTTCGGTATGGTCCACGGACACGAACACAAGAGCCCTGATCGTTTGGAAACTGCGCCATGGCTGCAAAGCACATGACTTTATGGTGTAGTTTGTTTTATTGTGTAAAGACGTTGTCCCTGATATGGGCTCCTGTCTCAAGAGCCATTCGGGTAGAAGCAGCTGGCAATGCGTCCCTTGCCGAACAGAATTGGTGGATTTGGCACATCTCGCTTAATGAAACATGGCCGAGGTTGCAACAATTCCATGTAACCCGAGGATTTGGACAGGGCACCTGAACATGACACTTCAAACAGCTTTTTTGGACCTCGGAGAGACATTAGAACCTCGAGCCCTACCTTCACATCCTGTTTAGCTTGGTGGGTTCCTCACCAAGCATGGTCCAGACCAAAAAGGTTCCCTTTTGCCAGGGTCACTGGCCAGCTGGGGGACTCGATTTCGAATCATCATGCTTGGTGTTGAATCTGTACCCTTGTCATCACCGGTTGAATAAAAGCAACATACACGGGTGTTGTTCAAGCAAAGCAAATGCTGAGTGCTACAACAAGAACCTCGTGGAAGCTTGTTGCAGGAAAGTCCCAAGGGGGCCCGGATGCTTGCCAGTTTTTTTCTCAACAGAAAAGGGAGCTTCCAGTTATTGTTGGGGTGTTTGCTAATGGTGTCCCTAAGATGGTTCGCTTCCTTTTGGTTTCCCTTTTCTGGACTATGCCAAACCCCAGTTGTTTGGTGGACATTTGTAGAACCAGACAGGGTTCCTTTTTCTTGCAGGGCCACAGGGCAAGAGGGAGGGTCTAACAAACGGATTGCAGCTTGACCCAAAGGACAATGTGTGTATCCCAGGACCTATTTGTTGGAGCCCATCAGATGTAGGACATTCCATCTAGGGTCAGCACAGTTGTAGGACACGGCGGACTGAATTCAACCGTGTTACTCTTTGTGGCGAGCCACCGGGTGTTTGGAGGCCACGGAGTGCATGCCGGACTTCTCCTTCTGGTGAAGGCACGAAGGCACCGGTATCCTCTTACTCTTTGAAGGACAAATCAAGAATGATGGAATTTACTGCAACGAAAAAGTCAATCACCAACCGTTTTGGAGGATGTTCCAACCTTGAAACATCATTCCCTTCCACCCGCAAGCACAAAACTCAGCAGGACGTCCAATTTTGGAGGAACATGGTCCTAGCGCCTCCAGTCAGGTTCCATCTTGGTTGGTGAGGGTACGTTTCATTTGTGTTGTAAATGGAAGCCACACGGAACCCGCAGCCCATTCTAAATTAAAGTGTTTTGCATTTCTGGGATCTTTCGTGAAGTTGGTAATTTTCAGGTTGGCACAACATGGACCAGACGCAAACATTTGATGTTTGGTTTCGACGGCACAGCTGCGGAAATGAGAGTCAATTTTGAGGGTACCCTTTTAAGCGCTATTGGGTCTTAGTCGGTCCCAGCCGCGCTATTAGGACTATCAGATTCTCTTGGGATTGGGTCCCTTGACAACCATAAGAGGCGGACATTTCAACCTGCTGTGAACGGCCCTCCGACCCCTGAGCTTGTTGGCACTTGGGTTGGTTGGAACTGGCGGTTGAGGAATATGCTTTCCAACAACTTTTGTTGCTGTGTTTGGAGTCTGGCAAAGCTGAGCGAAACAATGAACTTGCGGATTTACGCCCTTCAAGCATCATCATCACATGTCCATACGAAGCCGTTCACGCGACAAACTCAAGCAGACCACTTATGTTGCATGAACGTTCAGAATTTCCTCTGACGGTTCTCCAAGTGCTGTGCCATTAATATCGTTCGCACAACATCCCGCATGTTTGGCTTTGCGTTTTGCGGACAAATGAGTGAACGATTGTTCTGGTGTACTTCTCCCAACATGGCGTGAGCCCGGCATACTTCAGGACGTGTGTAAGCAATCACTATGCACCGATTCACCCTTCGAGGGGTGTTGCACACTTGGACACAGCAGCCAGTCAAGCCAGCATGGCTGCGCGCGCCGTTGGATCACAGGACATGAGTGACAGAAAATCATGGAGGTTAAACAAACATACGGATTCATGGAATGTCTAGGCTGTTTATCGTGCAGGGCTATCTATTGAGATTCTTTGCTTTGCCGCCTAGGTAGCTCTTTAGCCATACAAATGTGACAAGGTGAGTTCCAGTGCTATCCCCTGGTTGAAGTTGTGTCTGCTCCAAGGCGAACTGCTGTTCAGCTTATGCCGTAGAGTGTTGTTGAAGATTCAGCTGCACGCGCACACACACACACCAGTCTTCATTCGATTAGCCAGTTTATCGAATTGCCTGTCTCTCTTTACACCTCATTCAATCTATGCACGTTGAACATGGCGCGCTTGACGCAATTATTCAGTTTGGACTACGTTTGATTGATACCGGGCCATAGCCCGTGACATTCGGCCCGCACCAGTCCGGCCCACCTTTTGTCGCATGGCAACATGAGCGATGGACTCAACCGGCAGCCAGGCAGGAAGTCTCAGTGCGTCAGTGCAGGATAAGTGAACAGAAATCCCTATGGATGAGTTTTTGTTGCGTTTCCTTGAAAGAACCCGGACAGCCTCAAATGTGTGCACTTCAAAAATGGGGCCCCGAGAGCAGGCTTGCAAAGCTTGACAGAAGTGATGAATTGCAATATGTTCAGAATGATTGAGCTATGGCGTGACACATCCCATGCGCCTTTTGATGTGCAACTTAATTAATGTTGTAATTGTAATCCTGTGAGCTACCATCAGGCGGCCTTCCTCGGATTGGGTTTCCTTGGGATTTGTTGTGACTTGTTGGGTCGATGGCTCGGTATAGCATTGCTTTGAACTGAGTTGATTTGCAGCTGTCTAGCCGTAGGAACATTTGTTGGGGGCAGAACCGCCTTGCCTATGACAAGACATAAGGTGAAGGAGCTTCGGTTTTGGTTGTTCAATATCTTCTGTGCAAGCTTGTTTCACACTCTGAATGATCCTGGCGCGTCAGTGCTTTTCGGCGGTCTCCTCGAGAAGACCCAACTATCAATGACCCTGGGTTTGGAGAACATGGGTCAAACCTTTGATCATGCTTGAGCTGCGACATCTATGATTCGCGAGTTGAACCATCTAAGCTTCAAAACCAGCGAACGTGGATCAGTCTTGGCCTGTGAATGGGCCACTCGGTTAAGGCGATGGCATGAGGCATGCTTACTCATGATTTATGCTTACCAAGTCAACAACGGGCAACAATGGTGATATGGCCCAAGTAGGACCCGCTTAGGGCTGCTACACCTGCGACAGGAGTTAGGCATAAACGGCTAGGCTGGAATGTGCATTGTCCCGGTACCGATCTTTCTTTGAGGCACACGGATCTGGCTTTCCCTCCCAGAACCGGCAGTCCAAGTGGCAGCCAAGGCTTGTTGCTTCGATTTTCTGCAGTACACCTACACCTATGAGGTCTTTTTCAGAGGGCCAGACAAAATGATACTGCCCAGCAGCTCCCTGTATCCAGAACAAATGATCAGCACCCAAAACCAATGGGGAAACCTGGTTTCATTGGGATCATATATAGTAAAGCCTATATTTAGACCTTCAGAACTATGAAGGCCTCCGCTTGCTGCCGACCCTCATGGGACCGGTCCGAGGACCAGTCGGAGGTCCTGGGACTGGTCCTGGGTCCAGGACCATCTGACCGGGGCGGAAAGCTACTACGAGCACAGGTTGACTCCCAGGACCGGTCCCGGGACCAGTCCTGGAACCGGTCCTGGGAGTCAACTTTTTGTGCGTTCGCAACCGTTCGGCTGTGTCCCCCAGAAACAAAACATATCTGGATTCCAGTCATTTCATTCCTTAATTCATTCCAGTTGCATCCCACGCCGGTACCCTCTTCAAGAGGCTCGGACGGGAGGCAGAGGGTCAGCGGATTTTCTATGGATGCTGCTCAACTTACTGTAGGCACAGTGGCTTCCAAATGAAAGAATGGGAGCTACCACAGTGCATTCTAGGCCGGCCATCTCGGAGGTTTTCACAGACGGCTTGCACAAAGATGGATTCCTTTGGCTTCAGTTTGGTTCAAGCCGTCCTGTGCCATTCATATTTCCAACAGCGCACCCGGGACATGTTTCGATCTCAGCAAATCCCAAAAGGCATCCCCCTGCAGCTCTCGGCCTGCAGCAGCACCCCAGCTTTGAGTCTCGGCCTGCAGCACCCTGCAGCACCCTGCGTGACTCAGAGTCTGGGCTATGCAGCAGCACTTGGCAGCACCCTGCGCAACTCTGAGTCTCGGCCGGCAGCACCTTGCAACAGCACCCTGACTATGGCTGACAGGCGGCCGAAGTAGAACAAAGGTTTCCTCGATGAGTTGCTTCCTGCAACGACTGTTACATCATGTGGGTAAGGGCAGCAGCGCCGAAACCTGTCGTGAAAGCCTCTGAGCCCCAACCACTGCCCCCATTCAGTCCAAACCCGGCCATGTAGGCATAGCGACCTCACAAAGGAGTTTGATATAGTGATCTTTTGCTCCCAGGCACCTCCCCAACCTCCCTACCCGAACCATCCGCTAGGTGGATGCCTCCCCGGCAGCGAAGCGGCGCATGAGCATGCGCTTCTCCGAGGGCGTGAGGAAGGTGATGCCCAACCTACCCAACGTCCAAGGACCGAGACCCGACCCTCTGAGGTTTGGCTGGACAGAATTTGGCCCAATGGAAAGTTTGGGAAATGAATGAAACGTCTCAGAGAAGCAGTGACTGAATGGCTAAATGTCAAAAGGACCCGGTTTACCGTGTTGTCAAAGCGACTCTTCCGGATTATATGAGCGCCAATCGAAATAGGTCGAACGTGGAGGTTGGGGGGCATTCTAAAAATAAGTTTCGAAAACCGTATGGCTCCCACCGTTCTGCCACCTTCGAGCTTCGAAAGGCTCCTTGGTTCACAGCAAATGTTTGGATACTCCCAGCTCCCGTTCTAAAAGTAATGGTGGTTCCCCAAAATGGTGGGTTTTCTTTCGTTGTAAATGCCAACCTTAAAAAGGGGTTCATTTTGAGAAAACACACATTAGTGTCATGCATGCGGTCTCCTTTGGCTCAGGAGATCGCCCGCCCTCAGCGCTCATCTCTGAGATGACTCCAAAGGAGCATCCAGGGATAGGCCTGGATTCAGATCTATGGGTGTGTCCTTCATTGTGAACGCCCTTTTGGTTGGTTTTGAAGGGGAACCAGTAGGAAAGAAACTAGCAACTGTCAGGGTTCTCTCATTCTTAAGACAAGCCCCTATGGCATTCCACCCTGGAGGGGGACCAAACAACCCAAGCACACCATCAAACACACCGGGTCGCTTGGGCAAGACAAGCAGAGACCAAAACCGGTGTGTGTTGTGTGTCTGTGTGTTGGGGGTGCTGTGTTTCGGAGGTGGAACGAGATTCCCGGGAACGCAAACTACCGTGACTCAAGGGTTTAATCAAACATATACGGCCACTGCATAGCAACTAACTGTACTGTACAAGGTATATGCCATGCTTTCCCCTTGGGGTTTCGCTTTGGGGGGGCAGTACAAACCATCCTAGAAGGGGGACTCTGCCGGTGGGTTCTGCTTAGTTGGTTGGGGTCAAGCACATGTTTAACAGGGGATGCCCATCTACTCCACGACATTGTAGGTGTTCCAGTACGTGCCTTATTGTGCTGTTTGCGCAGTGTTCCAACACATTCGGAGAGGTGGCTGTGCGGGGGCATCCCGGATACTTCTTAGCATGATATGAACTTCAAGAGGCTTCCGCTGGATTCAGTCTAGATAGGAAATCCGCAAGACGGCTTTGCAACATGAACAGATGATGTCGGGATATTCGTGTTGCATGTCTCTTTGTCTTGCTCATCGCAGGGGTTCCCTTGCACGTCTGCCATCGAGCGAGTATCCTTCTTTTCCCATGGCAACTAGGCAAGTCAAGCACGAAAACGAGTGGGGCACCGGCTAATGTTGACTTCCCAATTCAATCTCAGTTGGGGAGACAAGGATTTCAGGACTCTTACCTTCCGCAAAGAGACACAGCACACTCTGAAAAGGGAATGCTTGCGGGGAACCGACCAGGTGTCCGCAGGTCCTAGCAACCCACATGTCACGTCTAGTGCATTCACATTGCTTCCCTTGCTTATCGGATAATATTGCCCTGCTTCCAGAAAATATGAAAGCCCGGTTCGGTCGATTGGATCATGAGTGTTTGAGGTGATCGGCCGATCCTAATTTCCTGCTTATCTTTTTCCGAGGGCCGATCTTGTCATCTGTTCTTCTGAGGCAGAATTGGACCATGAGCATGGTAGCAGACCTTCATGGCGGCAATAAAAGATGGGGGACAGACAATGTCCATGGGCTAGATGGTTTCGAGGCCAACTCAGCCTTGGCACCAACAATGCTGAAGAACTACACGTTTGACGTTTGGGATGGAGGAGAAATCGAGTCAGGACCTATTGCCATGGCCATTGTTTTGTGTCGGCCAGCAAAATTCATCGTGCGGCACCATGACGCAATGTCATTGAGAGGGAGCTAAGGAGTGTCCAAGATGCTCATGCCCATAGGTTTGGGATCTATAATGTGATTGCTCGAGCCAGTCAGATGCGCAAGGTGCAAGGTTTTAAGACCTAATGGAGACATGAATCCAAGTTTCAGTGTGTTTCTCGCTTGTTGTGTCCTCGTTCGTTGGAGAGGCAGTTGCCATCTTACGGGAAGTTGCTCTGCGGATATGTGAACTCGCTTTTGTTGGGCATGTTGGAAACATGCTTTCATGGTTGACATGGTTGTACCGGGCCTTCACCAGCTTTTGTATCTGGATCGGTTCAGCTCGAGGGCGAGCGCAACGCCAGGCACTCAGATTTTCGAGGTGGTGAGTGAGGCCGTCAAGGATGACTATCACAAGCGGACAGGCACGGGGAGCACCCGGACCCGACAAATGGACAAATGGACACGGGTGGGAGCCAGACAAATGGACACCGGCAACTCCGCCGAACTCATGGCAACCTTGGATGAAACTGAACCCTTGGCTTGTTAAAAGGAATGCACAAAAAGTCCAGCCATTTTAGGGGTCTCTCAATTTCAAGACAAGACAAACCCGTGCAGCCGCGTTGTATGGACTGAGTGAGGGATCCGCGTCACTTCAGCAAACAAGTCTCAGCCGCTTTCCTGCAGCCGCTGTTGAGTGGACTGTTCAAAGGCATTCCTCGGACCTTGCATCGGATTTCGAAATGGGCCCCTTTGTGCTTTGCCTGCTGGCATTCTGGATTCGGATTAGACCATCCATTTTGACCAGGTTGATGGAGTGCATCTTTCAAATTGGAATATATGTCAACAAGTTACCTGCTGCATCGAGCCTCCGTCCGTTTGTTTTCCTTTTTCCAGTATTTCCCGAGTTGCGGCACCACCCCCCCCAATACGGTGCATGCCCTAAATATTCTAAGTAGGCCAACCACAATCAACCGCAGAACCATGGCAAATCACGGTAGATTTGAGGAGTCTGAGTTCGGGTTTCCTTGTTCCCTTTGGAGCATCTTGCAATCAGGGCATCCGCCGTAGGGTCCGTACAGCTGTTGTCCTTCCACAGGGCGGGGCTGGAACTACGACTTGTGGCGTGCCGCCAAGATGGGCAACGCGGACCAGGTGAAGCGTGCGCTCCAGGCCGAGTCCGAAGCCGGTCCGAGCGGAGAGCGGAGGTCGATGGGGCCGTTTTTTGGTTTCTAAATGGTGTTCAGCAACATCGGGGGTGATTGATAGTGGGTCATGCCCATCATGGGCCTTAATGGTGGTAATTATCTTGTACAGCTACTGCGGGTTCACCGTCTCGCTGGGATCGAGTCTCACCAAGAATTGGGCTTTTGGAAAGCTGTCAAAGAGCATCTCCTTCGTCAGGTCTCGAGACCCTGTTATAGGAAAGCAACCCTTTATGTGACAACGAAGGAAAATTCGACTTAGCTGTGTCTTGGCAAGCAATCACTCAGCTTCAAGGATCCGGGTCTGACGGCATTTGCCTGCTATTCACAAGCGGCAGTATAATGTAATGTACTTTGACCTTAAGACTTGCTGATTTCCCATGTGACAACCTTACTATCATACCACTCGTGGAAAGAAGATACCATGATTGCAAGGAGGGACAAACTTATGTTGTTAAGGTGACTCCTTGTGGCAAGATTGACATGTGAACAGCTTGAGAAATCAGCTGCTTTTTCGCCAGGAAGGCGCCGAGCATACTTACGAGGTTCAAGCCGATGATCTGGATGAGGACTCACGCGTTGGGCAAGTCGAGACGGCGACACCGCGAAAAGGCACAAAACCATATATTTGTTTTGCCACGGACAGTGTCTAGACCGAATCGAGGGGAACTTCAACATGTTCAGTTTTCCCGATGTATGGAGCACGTGCATGCCCAAGTAGCTGTTCGGCCCATGTCGTTTAGATTGCGATTGCGGCGCGATTAAGCTGTATGTGTCACTGGAACTGCTTCTGAGTGAAATTCCTCGAAGCCTTGGCCAAACCCATCCATGTTTGGTCATGGCAATCCGAGCGCCAAGCCTTTCATGGTCACTTTAAGTGAAAAGTCATGCACCCCTCGATGTGCAACAACTGATCCCAGAGAAAGCTCTCCTTGGGCCTGCATGCTTACCGTGGGTTCTCTTGGCATGCAGCACTACAAATCATGCTGTGAGAAACCACTGTATTGTCGCAGGTGTGAGTTGTTTGAGCAGACTATGGGTGGCCCCGCAAAGAGAGGAAAGAACCTAGTCTGTCCGCGGCTCACGACTCAGACTTTGAGGGTGATTGGTGGACTTGGTGGACTTCTACCAATGGGTGAGTGCTAGAACCACCAAGCCATCCAGTGGCCGCCTCACTGCGCAGGGTGGATGGTCCCCTTTGCACGGGGTTCAAACAAGGTGCGATGTCTGGTAAGTCTGGCTGTTACATCCGCCGGTTGCTCGCGCAGGAAGCGTTGGAGTACAAGATGCGGAAGGTGAGCTCGAAGGCTGAGGGTCCCATGCTTTTTTCCGAGAGCGGACTCCAAGTCACCCGGTTTGGGTATTTGCCCAATAGGGAACCCCAAAAAACGGATTTTGGGTGTCCTATTGGTGTTCCTTCAAACCAACCCGCAAAAGGGGCACCCTCAAATGACAAGCACCGGTTCCATAGTTCAACGCATTGAATTCAAGCCATAGCGAATTCTTCTTCACTTCGCAGTGAAACGGAACGCGCAAACAACCAAAACCTTGAAGAGGACGGGTGCGGCTTCGCGCATGTGGGGACAGATGCCTTGAGTTGAATGTTGGAAGTTTGGTGATCTGCAAGGAAAGCACCAGCGCAAGCTGCCGATATGAATGCTGGACCAGCAAATCCTCAGCCTGCAGTTCAATTGCACATCGTAGACATGGATGCCAAGAACATAGAACTGGCTGACCGCTCCGTGTTTATGCAGAATCCAAGGAGTATTACTTCAGTTTCACAACAAATGTGATTATGTGCATGTTTGCCGGCAAATACCCCCAGCTTTCCAATGGATGTTGCCAACATGGCTCCTCTTCCGGATTGTTGGCTGCATCGCGTTTGGCGTGAAGAGTCTAATTGAGCTGGCCAACCTTTTGAAGTCATGGCTTTTTTTGACGCATTCGCCTCGCAAGAGAGAGGGATCCCTTGCGTGAACATTCCGCCGTGGTTTTGGAGGGGTGTAGCACTACGGTCTTGGGCTTTTGAATGGCAATGGTTAGTCCTCCCCGTGGGTCATGAATGGGGACCCCTTTCAGGGCTGCTTAATTGCTCGTTTGGAAAGTACAAAGAACCACCATGGAAACCAAGGCCACACTCATAGTCATGATTGCTGGCGTTGTGGTTTTCTGTGAAGGAGTTTGGCATTTTCCGTGCAGCAGTTTGGATTGGGCACATGCTTGCCAGGCATTGTGTAAATAAGCAGTCATTGGTTGCCTTTGAAAAATTGTTGTTGAATCATGTTCTCATTTCCTGAGTTCCTAAACTTTAACTATAGTTTTGCTTTTGGGGCTGAGACCATTCCAGTGGCAAACAAAAAGCTCGGCCTCAGCCAATCTACACATGGGCCGCGAGTGTTTAATTTCAAGGGGTTGGCCCAACCCTGTGGAGTCCGGCAAAGTGGCAAGGCCATCCATGCTGCTGCCCTTTGCAAGAAGCGCAGCGATGCAGGAGAGGAGAAGGCCGGGGGCCGGTGTCCCTGCTTCAGCTGTGAATGGCGGGACAAACATGGCGCGAAACAACAGGCGTACATTATTACATTGTTCTTGCAATGCACAGGATTTTCACAGGGGCCCTATTTGTCCTACCAAGGCGTTAAGGTGTATGATCCGATTTCTTTCTTGTTGCGATTTTGTCTGGCATTTAATTACTGTAAACCCGAGGCAAAGCATGGAGGGTTGCGCGCATGTCTGGCAAACCTTCCGCCAGGGCGCACCTTGAACGATTTCCTAGGTCCTTGTAATCGTCATCCCAAAAGGCCGACTTGTTTTCCTCGTGTTTTTTGGGCAAGTTGGGATAAATCCGTTGGGTTCAACGCGGTGTCCCATGACATCTGCGCTTATTCTCTGATGAGTTTGGTTCGCGCCAAAGCAAAGCAGGCAGCGACATCTCCTTTGCTTGCCGGCACCTAAAAAGGCTTGAAGGAAGGTGTGCAAGAAGAGGAATCTCATGTTGGATGCTCTGAACTGGATCGGGATGGCTCAGAAAGAGACACCAGTGTCCTGACAAGAAAGACAGGCTCACCTACTACTGTGGATGGCCAGAATTCTGCCTCAGTTGGGACGGACGAAAATCTATGAATACTGGGATGAGCCATTGGCCACCTGTGCAGGTTTTGTCATCCACAGCTTGTGTTCCTACAGACGCATTCTCACAACCAGCACAGGGTCTTGGCACGGTCTGTAGATATTGATGTTTCTTGAAGTAGCTGGGGTGATGACAGGATGAACCCAATATTTGTAAAAGTGTGTGTGTGTGTAAAAATGTGTGGGTGTGCGTTTAAGGTAAGTGTGGGAGTTGCTGTGTGTGTGTGTGCACGCGTGTGTGTTACATCTAAGGAACTCATATGAGCAGCGGCAAAACTCCTATTGGCCATTTTAGTAGGTGGTTCTACCACCTGGTTTGGGGTTTGTACTAAAGCCTATACAAGCCTTTGTAACCATGTTAGTAGCAGCCAATTTCATTGGGTTTCGGGCGCTGCTCGTGTGGAACAGTTTTGGCATGAAGCCAGCGATTTGGGAAGGCCCCTAGTTTTGACGCACAATCAAAGGCTACGAGAAGTTGCACCGTGCAATATGTTGTCCCTCTACAGTATGACTCAGTATGTGATCCTTGACCGTGGACTCAGTTGCTACTGCAGAGGGGCTGTCACCCCTGCCAATTGTGGCATGCATCAGTGGAAGAACAAACAGGGGGCCGAAGGCTTTTTGGGACTGCTGGTATGCCTCGGGTTTTTCCGCATTTGACGGTGGCTTGCAGCCAGAGTTGTAAATCTAGCCGTTTGAGCTACGGCCTATATTATATTTCAATAGTCACTTTCATCTACGGTAGTCAAAGGAATGCACTTGCCAAAATACAATCAGGACACGGAGGGTCCTCGTCAACTCCCATGTCAGTCAGAGACACAATGAGTATTGACTGTGGCTCATTTGCTTACTCCTGAGAACTGCCTATAGTGAATACACTGTTGCTTAGTTTCAAAGCAGATTGCTTTTGCGCCTGTTGTCAACTCAGGCAAGATTCTTGGTGGGCTATTATCAGTTCCGAGCTTTTTCCTCAAGCTGGAGCTGAGCAGACTCGGTCGCGCAAGGATCATACTTTGATTTAGTTTCACTGGGTCAACGTTTGGTACCGTGTGACCATCGTACATATTTGTCGTTGACTCAAATCATGGTTTAAAGAAAGCAACAATCCTGGGTGTAGGGTTGAACGTTGACCGAGTTCACCAGACCTTCCGAAATAGAGGCCTTGGCATGAGGGGCTTACCTACCCCCTGTGTAGCAATATGCCAATCGGGAACCCCCCAATCTGGGTAGTTTCCTTTGCTTTCCTTTCAATCCAAGTTGAAAAGGCTAGTCTCAAAAAACTTGCACCCATGTACAGTCTGGTCGGCTTTCGGCGGGAGCTTGGTCAATCGTGTTTGTTGTCTGATGGCTATTCTTTGTTCCCCTATGTTGTCATCCCTTGGACTCTTGGAGGCAACGGTTTTGGAAAAGCACGCCGGAAAGAGGCATTCGGTGCTGTTTGTCTTCAATATGTCCCAAGACCATCCAATGATGCATGAGACGTACGCTTGTTGGTTGACTCCCAGCCGCACTCTGAGCCCATGGGCAGAAAGGATTCAAACCTGTGAATCATGTACATGATGAGGTGCCCCAGTCCTGCTCCAACACATGTCCACAATCTTGACCTGTAAGAAGGTATTGACGTATTTCATACCAAGGTTACGCTTTCTCAGCAGGAAGGTGCTCCCTTTTCAGTCGAGAGGGAGATTGTTCGCAGGCCTACGAGTGTGTGAAGTTCCTTGCGGAGAAGAAGGCAGACGTTAGCTCGAAGGCCGGCACAAGCTGATCCCTGCCACAGCGCTCGTTTTGCTCGTGCGTTATCCATGGGGAAATATACGGAACCCCTTCCAGAGGCTTTCTACGTGTTCAGGGGTCCTGTGATTTTGGCGGGTTTCAGGGGGTGATTCATGCAAGTCCATGTAAGGCAGAATACATGTGGATTGCGCTGCCTTTGCCGGGATCAGTGCATGGAGTTCTGGATGGCTTATTGGCAAAGCACATGCTTTTGGGCAAGAAGTTTGCGAAAGCTTGCACAGGTTCCCCACATCTCAGAAGCGTGTGCCAATAGAAGGACGACCAGACTGATGAATCATGCTGTGCAAGCAAGCGCGCCTGCTTGCATTGACCAGTGCATGTATGTATGCACAGCAAAACATACATATTATGCGCATGTATACATACATATGTAAGAATATCCATATAGATATATATATATATATATATGTGTACACATTCTACATGAACATGTATTTGTGGATGTACTTATAGCTAAATATACACATCGAGCAAAAATCACAGCACCTTCAAACCGGTTTTGGGGTCCAACTGGCTTGCTTCAGGCGTTGATCTGCGACGGCGGTGGCATTCGGGAGCTGGAGGCTGTGCCGTGCTTTATTCGTTTGTGTCGGTTGCGTTTTTGCTGACGATTGGCGTGTTGGTGTGTTGGTTTGTCCCTCGGTCGGTGAGTTTCGTGTTTGGTTTGTCCCTTGTTTCCCGTGCGGATGATGGAGAGTTGTTGCAATGGTTCTAAGAGGATATCCACGAGTTTCCTGCTTGTCTTTCTCTTCCTTCCTTCCTTCCTTCCTCCAATTAGGCAAGACATATATATATATATATACATATGTATTGTTGATGTTTGTACCTCATGCTTGCTAGGGGTTCATGGTTATTAGGGCAGTAGTTCGGGGAAAGTGTGACCTTTCACTGCCTCGTCAACGCTTCAACACAGTTTTTGTGGAACCATTCATTTGGGTGCAAGGCTTGACCTAAGTAGCTATGTGGTTGTGTCTTAGGAATTTGTTTGTTTCTCGCCCCCCTCCCCCGTATTTTTGTGTTGCCCGGAGACCTACTCTCTACCCACTAGATAAAGGATGTCCCACTCACTGTATACCCAAGGTTCCCTTTCTGTGTGGACATGTCAACCATATTAGCCCGTTATTAGTTGCTGCAAGGGTGGACACCAAGTGAAAGTCAACATGCCACAGCAACCCGTTGAGCGAGTCCCTGATGCAGCCACGAGCAAGCAGCTGTCCTGTTCTCAATGGTTATTTTTGCTTGTCCTAGTTGCTAAAGAGTTCCAAGTCAGTGATATTGCGATGCGTGTTTGTTGGTCCTGTGAAAGGCACTGTGGATGGCCAAATCCTTGCACTGAGGAGAGACGTGTACTATGAGAATGGCCAAATCTGCAAAGCAAGAACCTCGAGGAAAACCAACAAGCAATATCAAAGACAAACGGTATTGGGCACATTTCCTTCAGGACTGTGTTTTTTCTCCGGTTTGCTGCGAGTTATTTTTGGTTTCTGCAAATGGGAGGTCTTTTGGGTATGGCATGACCAAACATTTCCCACGGGGCTTTGTGTTTTTAGTTTTGCTCGGGCGTTTCGGTTTTCTTAGGTTGTTCAATGTTTGTTTTTTCCAACCTGGAGGCCTTTCAGGAATTGTTTGGCGTTGGAAAGGAGGTGCCCCTCCAGATTGCTCAAACACACGCGCATGAAGAATACTTTGTCTTCCTTTTTTCAACATCACGCGCTTGCGGGAAGGACCCCAAAACCACTCAGAGGAATGGTTTCTGAATTCATCCTTCCCAACCAGTTTGTAGAGGAGTCTCAAATATGCCGTGGGCAAACTAAAGATGATGCATTTGGCCAAGGCTCACATCTGAGCCTTGCACGACTGAATTGACATAGAGACCCTTTGCTAGATGGCGTGTGCTTGGATAAGCAGCATCGCGTTCGGCTTTGTGATGTTTGACGCACTGGGATTTCCAATAGGCATAGTCAAAGCAGCGATATCCAGTTTCTTCGCAGGACAAGTCGTTCAGACATGTTCACATGGGTGTTGTCACAATGATGGACCCCTTTCGGACCCCCGTTAAACGGTGGCGCGAAATGACAAAGGTGCCATTCTTGTTTGTTTGTTTGTTTGTTTGTTTGTTTGTTTGTTTGTCAGCCGCCGACATGGACATGGCTACAAGATCACAGGGTGAGAGGATGAAGTACTGCAAAGTCGGTTTCAGGCAAAATGAATACCTAACCCCGTAAATTACGAAGCATTAACTATGCTCATGGTTGCTGCCTCTATCTTGCACCTTTCTTGGCTCTCTTGGCACTCTCTTGGACGGCTTTAGTTCTCTTGGCTCTTGCTCCTTGTTTGTTTTCGGCGCTTCTCTCCTCGCCTTTGTCTCAGCTCTTCCCGCTGTACACTGCTCTTATCGCTGCTAGTCGTTCCATGTTTGCTTCTCACATGATTCTCGCCGTGCTAACTTGTGCATGCTTCTTCTTCAGCTGAGTTGCAGCAGGTTGTGCAACGCATTTGCTGTCTAGCCTTCTGCCTAAGCGCGAGTTGCTCTCTGCTTATGACGGCCACCCGAACAGAACGATTTTGGTTTGTGTCAATTCAACTAGCATGTGGTTGTACTTGTGGACTGCCTTGGGAACTTGTGGGAAGTTAAGGAGATTGCTTTGCTTTCGCTCCTTGAGAACTGCATCACAGGCGATCCACATGGCAGCAGGGCACGGCAACGCAAGGACAGGGTATCGAACCGAAACTGAGACCTACGAGAAGCCCTCCAATCGAGGAACGAAGACCGTACAGCAAAGGTAGGGGATCCTCATCATCAGGTTGCTGAATTATAGTGAAACACCCACTTTCACGTCCCTTGAACGTGGCCATTGGTCCTGTTTGGACGCGTCTCGTTTGAATAGACTCGAGGCTTGCAGTATGTTCTCACCAGCCACAACTGCTTGCTATATTGTCAGGTCTCATCCTCTTAAGTAGGAGTGGACTGACATACCTACATTACAAGGGATTGACTTCAGTCGCATCGGCTTGTGTAAAATCGCATCGATCGCGCGTGGCCAGCGGGGAAAGCATGCGTTGGAGTGGAGTCCCGCCGAAGCAGCGTGGCCGGTGGGTAAACGCACAGCAAGACATCAACTTTGGCCCCCAACTTCACATGAGGCAAGTTCTGCTGAGATCTCTTGGGCAGAACTCCTTGTCTCCTTCCGACTTGAGACCAAGTGTCCCATTCCCATTCCTTGCGCGATTCACAAAGGCACTTATATTACGGAGGGCATCCACTATGTCCCCACTCTTGATGCCCGCCCGCTGGGCGATGAGGTTAAAGCCTTCGTACACAGCCTTAGGACTCTCACCACCATTACTGGTGCCCAGATCATGCCTTGGGATCAAACTAAGAAGATTAAACTTGTCCGATTTGGTCGTGGTCTGCAGGTCCAGGGCCCTTCGACCAGGCCTTTCTTCCCACATCAGGAGTCGGTTCAATCCCTCCTGACCGATTATTTTACTTGTGCCAATGGCAGTATCTCGATGTCCACCGCTCTCCACTTGGCCAAGATCCCCCCTTCTCTTGTGCCCCATGATGCACTCCTCCGCCGCGACGGCCTAATTCGTTCCTCCACGCGCCTCCGGACGCAGTTGCCTCGACACTACGCGTAGTGTCATGGGCCCGTACCTACAATGCGATAAGCGCTTGGGTGCCTCGTTCTATCTGACCTCCGGTTCTTGGTCCGACATAGTCCGGCCATGTTACCGAACATGAAGATGCGGGAGCAAGACATGAACTTTTTCCGAGGCGCGGGCCAGTCGCGCAGCAAAGCGCGGTGCGCGCTGCGGAGGCGCCTGGCCAATGTGATTTGCATTCCCGCAGCTGGCGTGCGAATTCAGGGCGTGCGAATTCAGAATTTGATGACCAGAAGAAAGGCCTGGCCGGCGGGGGGGCACATGGAAAGTCATCAATTGCCCGCTGGATGTTAAGCTTAAAACCCCTCCTTTTACCTAGGCGTGGGACGCAAACACCTATGTGCGCGGCGGAGCGTGGCGTGCGCCGTGGATGCGCGTGGCCAGTGTGATCAATGAAAACTATGACGCGGGACTTCACACGCGCTGATGTGACTTCGTGCGTGTGCGGCATGCGGTCATGTGACTTCACGCGCGTTGATGTGGCTGAACGCGACCGCATGTATGTATGACCTATGGACATGGCAAAATTGCTGGCAACTTATCCTGACCTGCTGTGCACACCTCCTTGATCTGATGAAAGCTCCAAACACCTAGTAGCACCACATAGCGCGTGTGGTTTTATTCTTTGGCTCTCTTATTCTGGTTGATCCTTCTAGTGAACAGACGTCAGGAAGCGGATGCATGAAGCAGGCGTTTTAGAGGTTTGTACAAGCTCCTTTGAGAGGAAGTGTTGGCCTAGGAGCAGCTCGAATTGGCCCAAATTGTACAGTTGTTGCCAGTAAAACCTGAACTGGAACAGGGATGCTCAGAATGTGGCACTGGCAAAGTTCAAAGGGAATTGCAAACGCTTCGCGCTGCCCGCCTCAGCCACGGACGGCCTGATTGATTTAGAGGAGCCGCTGGCAAGAAACGACGTTCATGTTTGGCTATGCGTGAAAGTATCAGCTGCGTGAACCCCATGCTGCCAAAGACCATGAAAAGTATGGGCGATGGTCAGAGGCCAGAACATGGTTAAAGACCTAGTTAATGGAGGCTGTACAAGGGGATTATGCAGAATGAATGTGACACAAGACTACATGTGCCTGCGGCTCGCGAGCAAAACTGTTGCCTTGCGGATTATCATGGTCGGCCAAACCAATCA